TATGCCTTTACTAGTTACTGGGGACAAGTCTTCCTCTAAAGCAAAGTGTACTCTCTTCCTAAGTGTAAGAGAGCCTGTATCAGCATGATCAGAGATGGACCAAAAGAAGAGCAGCATTCATACAAATTTTTCTTGAATAAAAAATGTCTGCTCCCTATTCTCTGTGTACTTTACCTGTTGAGCTTCCAGTAGAGATGAGCTCTCTGAGCTCAGTGATTTCACAAAGCTACTGAGTAATTCTAGTCAAGTCCAGCAGTTAAATTTCGGTAGTCCCAGATCAGAGAATCAATAAATTGAATAGAATGGAGCAGTTCAGTGAGCAGTTTCCAGTAATTGTTGATTGTACCTGGACCTTGCACATATCTATAATAGTACAATCGTAATATGCTAATTAGACCAGGTAACCTTTCAGATGACATTCTGGACAAAGACGTGGCTGAGAGGGCGGAAGCAGAGGCAGCTGCCATGGCTGCAAGGGCCATGCCCCTTGCACGAATTTTGTGCATTGGGCAACAGCAATCAAGGTTCAACTACAACAAAACTGTGCACCCAGCCCACAAAGGGGTGCACCAGAGTGTCCATGGTGATTGGAGAGACCAAGCCAATGGGCCCTATAGGACATCTACTACACAAGGCCATTCTATCAACTCAATCAGCTCACAGAGAACAGAGAGCTGTGGCCATACCCAGGTCCTCTCCCCTCCCCCAAGATCCTTTCCTAGCCTGGCTGAATAAGCCTCCACCTTAGTGACTTATAAACTAGAGGTCCGGTGCACAAAATTCGTGTGTGTGTGGGGGGGTTCCCCTCAGCCTAGCCTGCACCCTCTCCAATCCGGGACTCCTCAGGGGATGTCCCACTGCCAGTTTAGGCCCGATCCCCTGGGATCGGGCCTAAATTGGCAGTTGGACATCTGTCTCACAATCCTGGACTGCTGACTCCTAACCGCTTACCTGCCTTCTGGCCTGATCGCTCCTTACTGCCCCCCTTCCAGCCTGGTAGCCCTCAACTGCCCTCCCCTCTCCCCCTCTAGCCTGGTTGTCCCTAACTACCCCCTGCTGCCTGCCTGGTCATCCTGTCTCCCAGCTGGCCTGGTTACCCCCAGCTGCCCCCCCTGCCAGGCTGATCTCCCCTAATTGCTGCCTCCCCACCAGCCTGTTTGCCCATCACTGCCCCCCCTGACAGCTGGGTCGCTCCTAACTGCTCCCCCTGCTGGGTCACGGCAGTGACAGGGAGCTCTGGGCCCCGGGTTTGAAGGCCAGCCACACCCCCGATTGTGGGAGACCTAGAGTTCCGCTGCACCCTGGCCAGGGCCCAGAGCCTTCTTCCACCACTGCACCCCAGCTGGGGCCCAGGGCCCAGTCATTTTGTCATCCCTCACTGACCCGCCCTGCACCGGCCTGGTCGCCCCATGCAGCCTCTTGTTTGGTCGCCCATTCAGTCATTTAGGTCATGATGGCCCCTGGCTTTTTAAATATTAGGATGAACAAACAAGGACCACAAGGCAAGCATGGCACATGCCATTCATGTTCCCCCCTGAGGTCCCCTTGGTCTTCTCAAGGCTGGAATGGGGCGGTTTCTGACTGACCCTACTGATTATGAGGCAACCAAAGTATCTCAAATTCCTGATTTCTGTCCCATAACTAGAGTATAGATCTCTCCTGAATGTTTACCACAATGTAAGTCTCAGTGGAGTCTCATTTTCCCCTAGTCATACATTACACTACTTTGGCACTTAATGCATTGCCTTATACTTGTTTATCTATTTGTTTCTTCCAGACTCTAAGCTTTTTGTGATGAAAAGTCTCATATATTACTCACCAATCATTATGATCTGTGCCGTTATTAATAGTGTTCAATGAATGAGTGAATGAATACCAATTTGTTGGTGAACTCTAACTGCTAGTCTCCCTGATGTTATATGGATGCAACTCAGTATTTTAGTTCAGTAGTTCTGAAACTTAACCATTTTTAAGAAATATATGGAGGCAGCATAGGTAAATGCTTGTACTTGCTGCCTCCCACAACCGCATCAAAATTACAGCTAAAATACAGAACAACTATCATCCAGAACCATGGGAAAGCTGGCTGAGTGGAAGTACTACAAGTAGAGAAGTAAAGAAGAAAGCACATTGAGACTGGTAGGAGGTGTGGAAGCGTGGAAAGGGCTGGTTTGGCACCTGGGTGTGCTGCTTTTTTAATCAAGAGGGAAATTGCCTCTTTGGAGGCCACCTGGAGGAGCAAGAAGTTCCAGCCCCAGACCAGACACCCAGCCTAGGGTCCCATAGCTGGGGAAAAAAATCCCTACAGGCCATAGAACTACAGACTGTAAAAACCAGTGGAGTGGGGCTGAGTGACACACAGGCTGCTGGAGACCCAGCTGCTTCTCTTAAAAGGCCGGCACCGCCCTACCCAGTGTGGCTCAGTGGATAGAGCATCGGCCTGCAGACTGAAGGGTCCCGGGTTTGATTCTGGCCAAGGGCACATGCCCGGGTTGCAGGCTCCGTTTCCAGTGGAGGGCGTGCAGGAAGCAGCCAATCAATGATTCGCTCTCATCATTGATGTTTCTATCTCTCTCTACCTCTTCCTTCCTCTCTAAAATCAATAAAGAAAAAAAAAGGGGGCTGGCACCACAAACTGAATTTACAAGCACCCACTTCCTCTGAACTCCAATGCCGGGTGAGGCTCTGGGGGACCCAGACACATACAGGGAGAAACTGGAATGTCTGGCATTGGGGCAGGAATGTGGGGGCAGCTTTCTTCCAGATGAAGGTGCTCAGAGCGGTCATTGCTCTTGTGCTGGGACCTCGTTGTGCAGGGCTGACTGGTAGCCATTTTTGTTTGCTCTGCCCTAGTGATTCCTTGAGACCCTGCCCTACCCAATTTACAACCCCACCAAAGCTGTGTGTAGCAGCTTTTGCATATGAATGGTCTGTCCTTTCTTGGGCTAAAAACCTGTCAAACAAGCTGCAGCTGTGTCAGGGAGCTCAAAACCTTTCAATAAAAGTCCCCAAAACCTGCACCAGCACCAGCCTGCCTTGCTTCACAGTTGGGCCTCCTCAGGGCACTTCCAAACCCAATACAAAGAAGTTGAATCTGCAGATTTCTCTGTTGCTCCTGCTGGGTGGCCCCAGGCAGTGGCTGACTTTGCACCTCCCTGGAGACCCAAGAGCCAGTTTACCAGTGGTCAGTTTGAGACCATACCAGATTACAATTCTTCACATCCATAAGCGACACACTCAAAGGGCGGATTCAGTGAGCACCAAAGCCCCACTGAAGCAAGTCTTGCTCCATAGGGGTGTCTCCTGCATAGCAGCTCTCCCATAGTCGCAGCCAATTGGCCTGGAGGTCAATTCCTTCCAGTAACACCAACAGCAATCAAGGTTCAACTACAACAAAACTGTGCACACAGCTCACAAAGGGGTGCACCAAGAGTGTCCATCTCGGGTGATTGGAGAGACCTAGCCAATGGGCCCTATAGGACACCTACTACACAAGTCCACTCTATCAACTCAAGGAGACTTAGCATCTACCTGATACATAGAAACAAACATAGGGAAACAGCCAAAATGTGGAGACAAAAAAACATGTCACAAATGAAAGAGATGGAAGAAAGCAAACTACTGGATATAGAGTTCAAAACCACAATAATAAGGTTAACCAAGAATCTTCTAGAAACCTCTGAGAAATTTAGTGAGACTTTCAAGGATCTTAGTGAGAATGCCAAAAAAAAAAAGGGAAAGGACCAGTCAGAAATTAAGGATACACTGACCGAAATAGAGAATAATATACATGGATTCAACAGTAGACTAGAAGATCCTGAGAATCAAATCAATGATTTGAGGAAGGAAAAAACACCCAACCAGAAGAGAAAAAAGAAAAAAGAATCTAAAAATATGAAGATAGTGTAAGGAGCCTCTGCGACAACTTCAAGCGAATGAACATCTGAATTATGGGGGTGCCAGAAGAAGAGAGAGAGCAAGATATTGAAAGCCTATTTGAAGAAATAATGACAGAAAACTTCCCCTACCTGGTGAAAGAAATAGACTTACAAGTCCAGGAAGCACAGAGAACCCCAAACAAAAGG